TATAAAACCAAAGAGCGTTGGCATTTTGCCCACCAGAAAAACCCAATCACTTGCTGTTGCTGAGAGGGGGAGCAGGCTGGAGAAACCAATAGCAACCTGCCCAGAAAGAGCAGGAGAGAGAAGAGTTGCACAATGCCCTTTGTGCTATCCCATGAGGGCCCTGCTGAGGGGTGGGGACCCTAACATTCCGTCCTACTACAGTCAAGGTCCTTGTCCCGGTTAACTAGCCTCCGTGGGATTGTGTTCTTTACAACTTCAGTCAAAGATCTCACTGGCATAATGTTTGATGGACAAACAAAATCACATTTATTAGTTGAAGCGTTTCTAAAGGCTTAAAATTAAAAACAACAAAATTAAAATGAAAACAAAAAATATCACATTTATTAGTTGAAGTGTTTCTAAAGGCTAAAAATTAAAACAAACAAATATGTCTATATTTACCTGTTCTGTGCAGAAGTTTTGAGCAGAACAGCATGGATCCTTCTCCCCCGTCGATTCTCGTGGACCCTCCCTCCTGTTGGGTGCCCCCACAGCAGGCAGCATGCTATGGGGCACCTGCTGCTCATTGTCCCTTCACACATGGCTTGGCTCCGCCTCTCCCTCTTCTCATTTGCTCACTAGCTGTGATTGACAATGGCTTCTGTCTCAGCCACTGAGAAGAGGTAGTCCAAGACTCCAGTGCACATCGCTGGATCGAGAGGGGGTTTAGGTGAGTATGGGGGGGCTGCTGCACACGCAAGTATTTATACATTCATGAATAGAATGCATGAAGGTAAAAAAAACTTGAACCTTTACAACCAATTTAAACCATAATGTAGAGTGAATAAAATAATTGTTCTATCCCATTATATTCAGCCAGTGTATAGGGTACAAAATAATCACAGCAGATAACCCGTGACTGCAAATTATGAGTTCAAATTTTTATTGATGAGTGCTGTGGTAAGTAATGAGTCAACATTAAATAGGTAACATTCATTGTAATAGGCATATACATTTAGGCTTTTTTATTCATTTGTTGGACTGCCCCCATCTTAAAGCAGATCTAGCAGTAAAATAAAAAAGTGACATGTATGATGTAGTAACACAGCAGTTTTTGTTTTCTACCTGTTAATTTGGTGGATCCCTTATTTTTCCCCTTTTTTAACCTAAAACAGTCAGATTTTATTCATGTTTATACAATTTTTTTTTCCAAAATAAAAAAAAACAAATGCTGTAACTGCTTAAAAACATGTTAGCTGGTAGTAGGGTGTGACAACACTGCTGTGTGATTTCACTGCAGTACAAACAGTATTGTCACCCTGTTATGGCAGACAAATACATACATAAATAACTCTACTGACAAGGTAAACAAAACAAAATGTAACAAAAAATGCTTTGTTCGCGCTAGTAACTGACATTATATTTGTAATTTTTAAATTTTGCACATAGTTCTAATTTAACTGCTTCCCACCTGGCCTATTGTCAAATGATGGCCAAGTGAGAGCTCTCCCATCCTGGGTGGACATCATATGGTGTCCTCCCAGTCACACACCCCCACTCGCACCCTAGCGGCACAGCGGATGTCAAATTGGTGTACTGATCCAGTCACTGTACCCTGTGACCATTGTGACCAATCACAGCAGTCACATGATATTTGTACACAATGAATGGCTTTTCATTCATAGCCATTCATTGTGTACTTTTGTGATGAGCTTTGTGACTGGTCACAGTGACCACATGGTACAGACAGGAACAATCACAGCCCATCTGTATCATGTGATAACTGTGGTCAATCACATATAATCACAATAATACTTAATGAATGCCTGTGAATGAATAAATGCCATTTATAAAAATTATTGCTTATAACAGTACTGCACTGGTCAGCATATTTAAAAAAAAAGTGAAAAATGTAATTTCCTAATTTTCCCAAAATTTGTGACAAAAATAACAACTTCCAAAAACTTGCTATGCCTCTTACTAAATACCTTGAACTGTCTACTTTCAAAACAGGGGTAATTTAGGGGGCACATGTACCATCTGGCAATACAATCGAAAGTTTGGGCAAAAGAAGCAAGGAAAATGGGTAATCATGTGTCAAAAGGCATCAAATTACAGATTAACATTCTTATACAATTTAGCCATCTTTGAAAAACAGAAAAAAAAAAATGCCATTTTAAAAAATATTGCTTTGCCAAGCTGTTCAGTACTTCATCACTGATGTCAATATATTTGTAATTAAATAAATCTGTTGAACAAAGCATGTAATTTAATGAAAATTTCACTCATTTGGGACATTAGCAAATGCAATGTCAATTAAAAACTTGACTATGTAGCATCAGGGAACAGTGGAAGTTAGCAAGATAAGACCAAGAAAAATATCCAGAACAGCTCGCAGGATTGTGAAATTGAAAACCCACGTTTGACTGCCTTGTGGACAGAAATTGTGGTAATTTCACAATCAAAGAGATTTGTACAAATTTGGGTACATGGAAAATGTACCTTTATACAAAAAATCTTTGCTATGAACATAAAAACAAAAAAAACAATTTTCAGTAGCCATTTTCCTTTAGTTAAATTTAGATTCTGGGGCACATTTACTTTTAAATGTTTATCAATGATAACCAAAAAAAGTAGAAGGAAAAATGGTGATTCAATAAAACACAAATTTGTGATTAAATTGACCATCAAAAATGAAAAAACTGCTGTCTACAAAACAAATTTAACAACCTGAAATCCACGGGGGGTCATTACATCAATTGAAAACTGAAGTGTTTTTCCATGGCCTTCAAAGAATTTTTTATGTAGAAAACCAGTACACAATTTAAAAAAAAACTGAAAACTTGCAAAGTAAATGAAAGATACCTCACAAGAAAGAAATTTTCTCCTCAAAATTGAAACAGTACAAGAATAAGGGTCCAAATTTTGCATGCCTTTAGTAATTGTTATTCAAAGTGTAAATGAAAATAAAATCTACTTTTGAAACATCTGTAATTTTTTGGGCAGTGGCTGCAATTTGAAATTTTTAAAACCGATCCCCACTGTGCTCCATCAACATCAGTATTGATCAATTTTCAGAATATGAGCCATTAGTTTGTAGATTCTATAATGTTCACATAGATTAAATAATATGCACTGATTTGGTTATTTTATCAAAGAAATGTAGCAGAATACGTTTTGGCATACATTTATGGAGAAAAAATTATGACTGCAACCCCACTTTTATCACTGAAACAAAAAAAAGTGTTTTTCTTTTAATTTTTAGAATGTTTTATATACCAAAAAAAAACAAACAAACACAGTGTGATTAAATACCACCAAAAGAAAACTCTGTCTCAAAACAAATTCATGAATAAGGGTACCACTTAGTAATTGCATTCAAAGTGTGAGAAGCAACATCTGAAAATTGGCCTGGGCAGGAATGGGTCAGTATTTGAAGTGGTTAAAGTGTATTTTCCACTTTTGAAGTCAAATTTGAGAAACCCCACTATATGTTTGTAATGTGTTTCCATTAACACAGCCTACAGATTTAGATGTTTTTCATAGCTGACTGTACGTTTTTTTGAACAATGTTAGAGTGAGCCTGTCCTAAGTCTGTCCACTTTAGCATACAGTGCAAGAACCCCAGTCTATACACCTTTAACCCTTATTTAGGACAGACAGAGTTAAAATCTAGTTATAATTGATAAAGAAGATCTGCCTGCACTGTACAAACAGAATTAATTATGGCAAACACGGCACAGGCAAACCAGGGCCCTCACGAAAGAAAACTGAATAGTTCAGAATAGTGTATTTAAAAGCACTTAAATCATTTCAAGTGTTACCCCAATTTGACAGCAAAAGTGGAAATACAATTAAGTGTGCATTCACACTTGCGGATGCACCTGCAGCAGGGGCGGACTGACCATTTGGAAACTCGGGCACTGCCCGGGGGCCCGGGGTCGGTAGGGGGCCCCATGAGATGCCCCTGGTACCTTTTTCATAGGCTTTTTTGAGTTTGGGCAAGGACACAGGGGCCCCATGATCCCCTATTGCCCGGGGGCCCCATGAGTTGTCAGTCTGCCCCTGACCTGCAGTCAGATTACTTGCAAGAACCCCAGCAGCAAAAAAAAAAAAACACCATTTAAGTGATTCTAAAGCTAATATGTTTTTTACCTTAATGCATTCACTGCATTAAGGTAAAAAATGTTTTTGGATGTGCTGTGCCCCCCTCCCCCTATAAACACTTACCACACTTCTGGATCAATACAGTGATGTGTCCAGATGCAGTCTTCTCTCTTTTTTTCCCTCTTCACACAGGGACTGGTAGGAAGCATCAGGAGCTATTGGCTCCTGCTGCTGTCAGTCAAATCAAATGAGGAGGGAGTGGGGATGAGGCTGAGCCACGCTATGTGTTTCAATAGATTCACACAGTCTGGTTTAGGCTTAAGCCCGCACATCTGCCCCCATAGCACATGGAGTGCTATGGGGGCAGACACAGAAGCAGGGGAGAAGACAGGGCCAGTGGGGAACCCCAGAAGAGGAGTTTTGGGGCCGCTCTGTATAAGACCTCCGCACAGAGCAAGTAAATATAATATGTTTTTCATTATAGGGGGAAAAAAGCTTTTGGAACCACTTTAAGCTTCACAAAGAATATAAAAGAAAAATTCCCAGCTCAACATACCAATGAACTTGCGAACAAACCAAATTGTCCTGTCTAACAGTTTGCGTTAAAAACAGAGGTTTAGTTAGCACACATTATACATGCGCAAGCTGTAGAGCCCCTTCGTGGCACCCCATTATTTGAAAATGTGTGCTACCTGTACCTGTCTTTGCACACAGCATGCTCCCAGCACAAAGACCAGGATGTCACTGAGAGCCCCGGGTCCCGTTCTAACGATCAGGACCTGGGACTTCCAATTTCGGGTCACATGATTGCTGTAAAAGCCTCTGATTGGCTATCACAGTGATCAGTCACTGTGAAGCCTGCCCCCTTGTTTTTTTCTCTGTCAATGGAGCAGAGAAATATCATTGTATCTCGCTCTCTCCTCGTAGAAAAAAAAAAAACAAAAACAACTGTAAAAAAATAAAAGGAAATAAATAAATACTAAACAATAAAAGAAAAAATACCTAGATCAAGGTTTGATCTAGCTCAGTGCCAGGGTTATTGTTTATGTCAAGGTCAGGGTCAAAGGTCAAGATTTTTTTTTTTTTTTAATTGGTATACAGTGTCAGTTAGTGTCAGTGTGTTTTAGGTAAAAAACAAAACACAAAATGAGCAGTATTGTTTCTGAGTTGTACTACAGGAACAAACAACAAATAACAACATACACATATATGGTATTGCTGCGATCGTCAAGAGCTGGAGAATTTATTTAGCATTGTTCTTTGGTGGTAGGTTATGGTAGTAACAAGAAACACACAGCTAAATGTAAAAAATGATTTTTTTTTTTTACTATTTTGGGTCAGTTTTCCTTTGATAATAACAAAACATCAGGGGATATCCATTACCATTTACCACCAAATGAAAGCCCAATTTATCATGAAAAAAACAAGGTATCATTCACCTGGATGTACAAAGTAGTTGTGATGATATGTACAATTTTACTAATACATGTCAACATTGTAAAGTTTTACTTAGGCTTTAAGATTTGTTTTACCCTTAGACGTGAAGGGGTTGATTTGCAGGGATTTCCTGTCACTTCCTGTTTGGTTACGGGAAAGGAAGTGAAGGGAAATCTCTGTATTAGGACACAGATGGCAAAAAAATTTAAAAATTCGACAGGATTTAAAACCCTCCTTTAACCAAAATGAAAAAAAAAATGCCTACAGTTCTTGAATCACACTTTACACTTTTCATATGACAGTGAATACACTTCTCATTTTAACCAATAAAAAATTACAAAAATGCAGTTTGGGGGGAATGTATAATAATGTTCCTAAAATGCACTCTTTTGCTTTAAGTTAAAAAAAAACAATAATAATGTCCAGCATCAGGTGATGTGTCTTTCAAGCTGCCATGTCAGCACCATGGACCTGGGCATCGTAGTTAATTCTGTTACATTAATTGACTTATTCTAGTGGCACAGTTATCTTCTGTAATTCTGTTGGGAGTAGTTCTTGAAACTTGCCCAGGGCTCAAAAATAACTAGTTTTGCAAGCATCTCCTTCAGATTAATCAATGGCCTTCATTGCAGAATTGTTGAGGTGTTTCTATTTTAGCAGATAAACATTTAGAGAACGCTTTAACATTGCCAGAATTAGCCATCTGTGCTTCTCTGCACACTGCCAGTATTTTGATTCTTCATTTTTGTTGCTGACTGATGCGGGTCTAATGCTTTCCCGATTTGAAGGAGAGCAGGGATGAGCACAGTTTTATTTTGTGCCGTGTCCCAGTTGGCTCAACTCCATTGCTATGGAGATATCTAATTTAACTTTTCTTATATAACTGATTTGTTGGCATAGCTGTGCTAGGTTAATAAGGTTATTAAATGTATGAAAGAACGGTTTCAACAAATTTGAAATATTATTCTATTACGGCCAAGTCAGTGAGGAGTAAATTCCCAAAGGGAACTTTTTCTAATTTCTTCTTGTGAAATTGCTAAGCTTACAATACACAGATTTTTTTTTCCACTGACACTGCGAAAAAAACATGTTTTTTTTTTCCAAGCTAGTGAGTGACACACAAATCTCTTGCATGTGATTGATATGACAGCTTCGTGCACTAAGACATTAAACAATGTAGACATGAAAATGTACTTTGTTTGACTGACATAAAAATTAAAAAAAAAAAACTCCAGAGAACATAATGTGCAAGTGAATATAATTTCCTTTGATTTCTAAAACAAAAACAAATTAAAACATAAGGTCAAACCGGAGTGTATCATGGTGAAAATAAAGTGATTGTATAACTATGTAAAGTATTGTATGTGCTATGATAACAAGATGAAGTTGCTTTTATTTACACATAACTTATTTTCCTTGTACCTCATGCTTCTGGTTCTGTTTTTCATGATGGCTTTCTACTCATATTTATTGCATTCCATCCTGAACCTTTCAATAGTTAAAGCTGAATTCCAGCTAATGAGGTAAATAAGTAGAAGAAAAACCTATATATGAGTTTAGTTTTTCCTATCAAAGGATTTGTATGCCTGTCTATTAAATCCTCAGATTTATTCAGCCCTGCCAGGAAGCAGAACCTGGTAGGAGTCTGGATATTACTCTAGTGCAGTTAAAGCAGAACTAGAAAAAAAAAAACTTACCTCTGTTACAATGGTAAAACATCTGTGAAGTCCCTTGATGACACTGTCATCTCCTCCCTGGTATCCAGTCTAGGTGCCAGTCTTTGGCCGTCTTGATTAGTCAGTGCGTGATGACGTCACTCCCATGCATGTGAAGTAGTGCAGTCATCCGAGCACACAGGCAGTGTACTAGAAGGTAAACTGAGCTGTGCTCTGCAGATCAGCCTGTGCAAGGTAGTAAGAAATGGCCTGCATTTCTCTGTCACCACTGATGCATTTCGCTCCTCCACGGGGCTTTGTGATACCTCTGAAAACCAGTGACATTACAATACCCATAGCAGATCATACAGCTGCCAGGGGGCCTCATTTTGAGGCAAAGTTTTTTAAAAATCTGGGTGCATGTGAAAATAACAGAAATCTAGTTCTGTGTCATTATGGATTAGAGAGATTGTTGCTGACACTATTCATGTACCCACTGTGAAGATTTCAGCAAAGACGAGCTGAGGAACATCATATGCGGAAGAGGAATCTTCACTATAATGTCATTAGTAACAGATACCTTTTGCAGTCTGTGCAATGAAAATAATTTATTTAGTTGCATTATCCATCAGGGTTTTTTTTCTCAGAGAACAGGTGCACCCCACCCACCTCCCAGTACCACCCCTTTTAGAGAATGCAGAACCAAGTATTATTTTGTGATGCTAAGTAATTTGTATGGAATTAGTTAATGATAAGAAAAGCAGTAAAATATATCCCCTACAGCCAGCAACAAAATACCCATCAGCAACAACAGATCCCATGAACAATAGATCCCCCAGCAACAAAAGACAGCCCCCACAGTAACAATAGACGCCCTCAGCAAAAAATAGATCCCCCACACAACAATAGAGCCTCCCCCAGCAACAATGGATCCCACAACAAAATACCACCCAAGCAACAATAGATCCACCCCAGAAGCAATAGATTCCCAGCAGCCAGAATCAATAGATCATCCAGTGGCAAGTAACAATAGACCCTTCACTTGACAGTAGATCCCTTCCAGCAAAAATGAACCCCCTCAGCAAGATAAGACCCCCAGTAACAATAGATCTCCCACCAGCAACAGTAGACCTCCATGGCAACAACAGACCCCCCGTGCAAAAATAGATTCCCACCAGTGATAATAGCAGCCAGCATAAATAGACCCTCCAGCACAGCCCAGAACCCCTTGCCAATACATGCATTTAGTGCTGGAGGTGCCAGAACTAGGTTCCCCCATGTTCCTGCTGAAAAAAATTTCTGATTATCATTGTAGATTTATTGCACTCAGACCTTCTGGTAATCCTGGTCAGCATTTAAACTGAACCTGTGTACCTAATAGAGATTTCCACAGGCTGTAAGAATCAAAGCGCGTCTCCTCAGGGAAAGCTAAAGAAGGCAGCTGAGATTTGTAATTATGCAAAAAAAGACACAGTTTTAAAAAGTTTGTATTACTGTTATAGAGTAATTCATGATCATGGGGGCATGACTTACCAGTGCTGTGTGTATCTATGGACACACATGGCCCAGCTCAGGAGGTCTCCCACATGCATGCCTCCTCAGCACAGTTTGCTGAGGGGACAGTCATAAAAGAGGAGAAGTGGACAGCGCAGACGGGACCACAAGGAAGGAAGAAAAAAGCAGTAAGCAGCCATTCAGTGCAATACCATTGCACAGAGCAGGTAAATATAATGTTTGTTATGTTAAGAAAAAAAAACAAAAAAAAAACCTGTGCTTAGTGCTGCCTCTTACCTCCACACAATGACCCAATATAGATTAGGTCAAAGACAGCCTTTTGCCAATCATATGGGTAACAACTCCCAAAGGTTTCCCAGGATCCCAAATAGATGATTCAGTTGGTCATATATGATGAGGGAAAAGAATGGAAATAATTAATAGTGTAGTATCCCATTAAAAACAAATTTATTAAAAGAATGCTCAAAATATACCCACAAGTATAGTGCACTGGTCCCATGTACTAAAAATAATCACTTGTTCAATTACAACTAAGATTGCCCCCTTAAGGAGAAACATCTATCCAGTGTCCAGTCGGTAAAATGGCCGATCCTGTAATTCCAGCGCCCAGACGTCACTAACCTCGCCCCTGACATGTTTCGTCATGAATAGCTTGACTTCATCATAGGAAGAATACTGTTTTGATGTGGCAACACATGTTAGGTGCTTGCAGCAGCTAGGTGTTTTTTTTCATCAATACACTTTTTAAGCTTTTGTCTTGCTTTTTTATTTTGTTGGGAAATATATGTTTTTTACACTATTTTGGCAAAGCACAGGATTATTTGGGTTTATTACCTCCTCCTATTACCTGAAAACTTCTATCCACAGCACTGGTCCCTAGTAGCATACTAACTATGCTGGCAGCTCTCCTCACTTGTCACCTGTTCCCGATGCAGACATACTTTGTGTTAAAGCCTAACTCCAGGAAACTTTGAAATGCTTGCTTGCAGTGGGGCTGCACCCACAATGCAATAGTTCAGAGCTCGTTAAGGCTCCATGCACACTGGGTGTATTGATAACGCTGGTAATGTTAGCTGTGTAAAGTCACATTAAAAATGGGAGTTTTTCAACTTTTTTGTTAGCATTTTTGTATTAACGTTTAGCATCATTTCGCTGTATGTAGCGGCGTTTTCACACGTTTTTCAAAGTTTTTCTGCATCTGCATTTTTTTTGTGTTTTTTTTTTAAATTTGGGGTCAAATAAAAGTCCAAAATGACGATTTGCTGCGTTTTACCGCATTTTGCAGCGGTTTTCAGCATTAGAGTGTTTTTACAGCTAAATAACTCCTCTAGAAACACACTAGTCCTGAGGTTTTTTTACAGCCAAAAACTTCCCTGCCAAAAAACATTGATTACAGTCTATGGGGCAGCACAGTGGCTAAATGGTTAGCACTTCTGCCTGGCAGTACTAGGATTGTTGGTTCAAATCCCAGCCATGGCACCACCTGCCTGGAGTTTGCATGTTCTCCCTGTGCCTGTGTGGGTTTCCTCCAGGTACTCCAGTTTCCTCTCACACTCAAAAGACAGGCTGGTAGGTTAATTGAATCCTGTCTAAATTGGCCCTAGTATGTGTATGTATGAATGTAAGTCTAATTGTACACCCCTTGAGGGTTAGGGACTGATGTGAATGTATAATATATATGTAAAGTGCTGTGTAAATTGACAGCACTATATAAGAACCTGAAATAAATAAATATACAGTCTATAGACACATAGAATAACATGCTGGGGGTTTACTAGCTGTAGAAAAAAATGCCAAAAGCCAAAAACAGCAGCTGTAATAAAGTCAAGTGTGCATGAGGACATAGGTGTGAAATACACAGAAAAGAAGGTTTACTTATCCTCCACTCCTCTATGCTGCTGAACCAGTCCCCACAGTGTCTTCTCCCCCACACTCCAGCTGTCTAA